TGGGAGGTGGGGGAGGAGGGACGAAGCGGCCCAGCTCTGTGTCCCGCACTCCTCTCCGGCCCCCCGGAGTCGTTGCGGGCGGGGCCCCCGCGGAGCCCCCGTGGAGCGTGTGCGTGCCGGGCTCACCCGGCCCCGGAGCCGAACAAACAATGTGAGACTCGGAGGAACAAAAGCCTCGGGGCTTGGGTTGCTGAACACGTCTGAGGCCAGACAAGCCGCTCAATTTATTGGACTTGGTGAGAAAATAATAACAATAATAATAATAATAATAATAATAATAATAATAATAATAATAAAAATAGGGGGTGAGACGACAGAGGAATGGGGGGGCCTGAGGAGTCTCAAAGCGTCTTTATTAGGGACCGAGGGCTGCGGCAGCGCTGCGGGGCCGGGCTCAGGATGCTACGGGGGGGGGGTCCTAATCCTGCTGCCCTTCTGCACGGAACTGGGGGGAGTGGGCTGAGTTCTCTCTAAGCCCCCCCACTTCCCGCAGTGTCCCGCGGAGCTGGGAAAGTTTGAGAAGGGACCGAGTGCCACTGCTCTTTGCTGACTCCCTCCGTGCCCCTATCTCCAAAATTTCGGAGAGGGGTTGGAGGTCTGAGGTCTCCTCCTCTAATCGTCCCTCTCCAAGGAAGGCAAGGCCGTGCAAAGAGAGGCTGTGCAAAATCCAGAGATTCCAGGTGCCTTCATTCGCCTCCCAGCTCACCCCACTCGTGCACAACCCAGTGCCGAAACTTGGGGGGCAGAGATGCTGCCAGGGGGGTTCCGTGCTCTGCTCGGAGCCGCTCTCGGTGCACCCCGAGCCCTTCCAGCAAGAGAGGCCGAGCGCAGCGTGCCTCAAAGCGGGGACATCCACGCATGGGAGGCGGGGAGGGTCTGAAATGATAGGATCCGTGCACACCCCCCCCCCCCAGCCCCGGCCGGGATCTGCTCCCTCTGCCTCTCCGCTCTGCTGCTGGGGTTGAATTTGGGGGATGGATTTAGGGACAAATGATGACGGTAGAGCGAGGTTCGCCGTGTCCGCAGTCCGTTATGGAATGGCACATCCCGATGGGTGCGTTTGAGAGCCCCCCACCCCCCCGCCTGGTTGTGGTCCCGCTTCGATCCGTGCGAGCCCCGTCGCCCCTTCGCAGGGCAGCACATCTGGCCAGATGTGAGCGGCCCGGCACCGGCTTTTCCTCCGCACGGCTTTTCCAGCCAGGAGAGAAGAGACTTTTTTTTTTCTTTCTTTCTTTCCTTCCTTTTTTCATTCATTCATTCATTCATTCTTTCTTTCTTTCTTTCTTTTTCATTTTATTTCCTATTTATCTCAGAAATACGCTTCCCCGCGGCGTGTCCTTAATTCTCCTCGCAGGCGTGGAGAGATTGCTCTAGAGCTGTTGTGCATCGGGGGGCGGGGGGGGGGGAGGAGGAGGGAAGGAAAAAGAGCAGCGGGCGGCATCTCGGTTCGTGCGCTGCGCAGATGGGCGCTTGGGAGCCGCTGGGTGCCCCAAATCGAGCCTTTTCTATTTTATTTTATTGTATTGTATTTTCATGCAATGATTCGTGTCACTTTTAAAGCTGGCCATCTTCTAATCGTCCTTTAAGCGTGCGATCCCGAGCCTCGGTCTGTGCGGCTGCTCATTGTATTTGTTTGCATTTTTTGTCTGGCTTCAGTTTGCGTAAGCGACTTTGTCGAAAAGCAGCAAACCATGGAGCGGGGGGTTTTTCATTTGCTAATGAAACCCAAAACACACCCGGGAGTCTCCTGCAGTCCGCTCGTGTCCTCCTGCCCCGGGACGTCGCAGGGATGGCAGAAATGCGCCGTCATTGGGAGAGCAGAAGTTTGAACGCGAAGCGTGGCGTTCGGGATGAAGAGCAGTCGGATCGCGGTTCTTCTCCGGGAGGTTTTAGGTAGATACGGTACGCGAAGGGCTTAAAATGATAGATTTTTATTATTTATTTTTATTATTATTATTTTTACGTCGATTTATTTTTCCTTTTTTTTTTAAAGGAGAATTAAAAAGGGGGGAAATCGCGGTTACGTCTGAAAAAATCCTCCTGGCTCCGAGAGGGAATGGGGTTCGCGGAGCCGCTGCGGTAACGCCTCCAGATCCCCCCGCTAACTCCTCGTAATCCCCCCATTAGGTTCTCTTAGCCCCGCTCCCTGCTGTCCCCGTAGGACCCGGCCTCAACTCGAGGGCCCGGCGCTGCCCCAACCCCCGGAGCGGAGGGGCGGATGCCCGAGTCGGGGATGAAGTCGAGGAAGCGGGGAAGTGGGAGCAGAACGCGGGGGCTCGAGCAGAGCGGGAGCTGCCCTCTGTTGCGGTTTTGTCTTCCGAGAAGGACTGGAGATAAATTGAGAAAGGAGGGAGGGGGGGGGGTGAAAGAAGGCACTGAGACCCCGTGCGCCTTCGGGGGTGCGGGAAAGCAGGGGGAGAAGGAGGTTGAAGGTAACGCTGAGGGTCCGGCGAGGGCAGAGCGCGCTGGAAGCGGGGCCAGGGCTGCCCGTAACGCCGGCCGGGGGTTCCCAACCTCCCTTGGTCCTCCAGGACCTCATTTCCCCAGCAGCGCCTCTCCGACTGCCTCCGGCCTCGGCCGTGCAGCTCACACCGGAGCAAAGGCAGCGGCTGCAGGATCCCTAATGGGGGAAACTGGGAGAAGGGGTCCTGAGGGGGGGTGGAACGCGGCCCTGATGGCTGCAGTGCAGGAGGTGGCCATCCCGGACAGTCCCCGAAACGTGCAACCCCGAACTGGGCTGGTTTGATGTTAGAAAATAATAACAGTAGTGATATTAATAATAAATCCAAGGCAACAAGGAATTTAAAGAGAACACAAAAAATATATATATATATCCAAACGGGCCATTTTCTTTTTTTTTTTTTCTTTTTTATATCTTTTTTTTTTTTTTTTTTTTTTTTTTTTTTGAGGATAAATCGCGTTATTAATTTTGATGCTATCTCTTACGATAAGAGGGAAAATAAAAGGGTAATTAATAGAGAGCCTGCGGGGTCAGAACAACGGCAATAAAAGCAGCGTCTGCGCTCCTCCCGGGGTGCGCACAAGGCGGGGGCCGTGGGGTTGAGCCCCCACCCCCCCAGAGAAGGGACGGTGGGGCTGGGAATGGCAGCGGCCGAAGCCGGTTGGTGACAGTTGGTGGCAACGGGCGACGGTGGCGATGGGCGGTGGTCGCAGTGCGAGGTGCCGGAGGCGAGGGAGGGGGTTGAGGGGGGGCCGCCGTTGCGTTGGGAGAGCTGCTAAGGGGTGGGGGGATGGGGGCGGATGGGGGGGGGGGACACACAAGGACGGGGGTGAGGGGTGGCGGCGGTGCGTGGAGCGCGGCCCCTCCCCGCCCATTGATGAAGCGATAGGCGCTGCAGAGGGGCGGAGCCAGAACGGGTGACGTCAGGCGGGGTAGAACCAATGAGAGGCCGAGTTGAGGGCCGGGAGTGGGAAAGCATGAATGAAAAGTGCCGCGCGCCGCTCCCCCCCGGCGCAGAGGCTGCGGGCAGCAGGTAGGTGCCGTGCCGTGCCGTGCCGTGCCGTGCCGTGCCGTGCCGTGCCGTGCCGTGCCGTGCCGTGCCGTGCCGTGCCGTGCCGTGCCGTGCCGTGCCGTGCCGTGCCGTGCCGTGCCGTGCCGTGCCGTGCCGTGCCGTGCCGTGCCGTGCCGTGCCGTGCCGTGCCGTGCCCATCAACATCCTCGGAAATTCGGAGCTGTCGTCTCCGCGCCCCCTGCAGTGTGGATCTTGTCCGGTCGCGCAAGAGGAAAAGAGGTTGCGGGTGGAGGAGGAGGACCGTGAAAAGCGCGGAGACCCCCGAGGAGCGGATTGCAGGTGAAGGCAGCAGTTGAGGGATGAAGGCTGCTGGGGGAGGGGGCGGGATGGTGGTCTCCTCCACCCTCAATCACCACCATCCCTTTTACACCCCCGGAGGATGGAGGTCGGTTAGCCGGGGGAGGATGAAGGCACTGCGGGGAGGCAGCTCCGCTGGCGGTGGGAGAAAGGGTGAGGCCCGTAGGGCATCCCCGGGCGGGATGCGGTTACCTCCCGGGGAAAAGAGAACGCGAGGAAAGCGGAACCTCCGAGGAAGGTGGAGAGAAAGACAGAGAAAGAGAGAGAGGGAGGGCTGCGGCTCCCGAGAATGAAGAAAGGGCAAAGGGAGGCCGGGCCCGCGGGGAAGGAGCGAGGCTGCGGGTCCCCCAGCAGCAGTGAGCGGTGAGCGGGGCCGGGCGCGGTGCCTCCGCGCGGCCGGCGATGCTGAGCATCGGGTGGGAGTCGCTCCCTCCCTTTCCCTCTTTCCTTCTTTGCCATCGTTTCCTCCGCGTTCGTTCATCCCGTCCGTTAACCCCAGATCCGGGCTGCATTCAGAGCAGCCCAAGTTATCATTTATTTGAAGCGGCAGCCTTTTTCTTTATTATTATTTTTTGCAGCCTTTTTGTTTGGCGAGCGTTAAATGCATTCGTGGGTGGGGATACGTCCTTTTATGTCTCCTAAATTACGGGTGCAAATTCTATTTGCTTTCATGATCACCGGCTTGGATGTATTATTTTGACAGAGCTCGGGGTTATTAAAAATAACGCGGCCTTAATCCTCAGCACCTGCAGGACGTCGTTTCGTTTGCAAACGAAACGGATTTAAACTGGAAAGGGGCTCGAACCCGAAACCAGGCTGCTCCTGCGTGGCCGTCTCGTAATTCTGCTCCAAACGGTGTTTCTAAGGGCCCGATTCTGCCCGTGGCACTGATGCTCTGCCTGGGCTGCAGCCGCAGGGCCCCGCTGTAGCTTCGTGCTGGCATTACGGATCCCGCTGCTAATTCTTGCATCTCTGTTTCTTCGTTTCTTCCCTTATTCCCTCTCCAAAAGCCGCATGCCTGGAAGCCCCCTGGAGAAGAGGAGGTTGCCCTTTTCCTGCTAGTGCTGTAGACTTCAGGGGTTGGTTGTTATCTTTGGTTATCTAGCTGTATGAGTGGTGTCGATTCTTCATAAAGCTAGATAACCGAAAGTAAAAATAACCCCATTACACGCCTGAGGAGGATGTGGAGAAGAAAGGAAATTCACCGAGAGGAAGAGGAGGAAAACAAAAAGAAGAAATGAAAGAGAAAGGAAGGAGGAAGGTGAAGAAAACGAGAGGCGGAAAAAAGAAAGAACAGAGGAAAAAAAAAACAAAAAAAAAAAAAAAAAAAAACAAAGACAACTTTTTGAGACTGCAATTAAAACCGAGGTAGGATTTCATTATTTCTTGATTTCAAGACCCGATTTGCCTCCTTTTAAGAAAGCATTTTCTGGTTCTGTCTTGAGCAAAATGAGGATGGTGCCCTTTTTTTTTTTTTCGGCTGCTGACTATAATTGAATTAACAAAGTAAAACTTCCCATCAGATTGGGAATTAGGGAAGCCCAGGACCCAATCCGCAGCTCGAGGATGAACTCTCATTGCATAACAGCTCGGGTAGCATCACAGAACCCATAAATCAATACAGATTACCGTGCTGGATTATCTGTTTAATAAAGCAGCAACCGAGCACTGTTTATTAATGGTTGTTTTGCAGATATGAACATTGGATTCTTCTCTCTTCATTTTTTTTTTCCACACCCCCTCCCCCTCCCCCCCCCCCTACTATTTCCAATCTGTTTAGTTTCATTCTCTGACTGAGATAACTTGGTATCCAGATTAGGAAGAGTGATGCAATGATTTGGAAAATGGTTTCTTGCAGCTTTCTTTGTGTTTGTTTTGTTGTTTTCATTCCCTCTTTTTGCACCTCTGCCCAAACGCTCCCTTTCTTCTTCCAACCCTCTGCCTATGAGCGTCCCTTTGATCCGCGATTGGGGATTTATTAATGAAAATATCTGTTTAATTTGCCTTGGAAGCAGCATGAGATGAATGGGGGGAACTTGATTTTCTATTCTTTATCCTCTCCGACTGCCAATTCGCACCAATCCTCGCTCCCTTCACTTCTCTTGGCCTCTTCTTATGGAATCCAGGATTTCTGCTTCTTCTGCTTTAGAAGGAGATGGGGGGGGGGGGGGGGGGGGGGTGTCAGAGATGTGCACTGGGTGCTCCCCACCCTCTGCTATGGCCAGGTTGCTTAAACGCCACCCGCCCAACCTGGCTGCCCATTTGGACCGATGTCTTGATGCTGCTTTGAAGAACACAGAGCTCTTCAAGAGGGTTTTGATCTCATAACGGTGACACCAAGGTTGGGGGGGGGGGGAAAGGGGGGGCAAAGCTCTTAATAATAATAATTAAAAAAAAAAAGCACATGAGCCAGAGAAGCCAAACTGATTTTGGAAAGGAGTATTTGGAGCGTTGCACCTTGGGAGAGGTGTAGAGAAAGAGCTGGCTTTTGACCCGTGCTGGACCCGCTCGTTTTGCTCTTGCGCTCATCAGGACTTCGTTATTATTATTATTATTATTATTATATTTATTATTATTTATTTATTTTTATTATTTTTTAAAGGGAGAGGGAGCGTGGAAGAAACTGCCCCCGGGACTTTGTGCAGGGGAAGGCTGTAGTTCGGGATGCAGTGTGAGAGATGAGTCACGCTCCCATGGTGACTTTAATTTAATAAACGAGACCGTTTTCACCTCCTCACCCACAGCCCCTTAATTCAGGCTCACTCGGTGCATGTGCCTCTTCCCTGTACCAATTTCCTTGGGGACATCTTCAGGAAAGACCCCCCCTCCTACCATACCCACCCCTCCTGGGTGTGTTGGGTGCTGCTCTCGTCCTGCAGCCTGGGCCTGGAGCAGAGGGACGTTTCCATGCGCTCTCATTGTATCCCCTGCTGCTCCTCCAGGCTGCTGGCGCATCCCAGGCTGGGGACAAGTGGCAGAGAGTGGAGGGATGAAGGAGCTTTGAGGGCTCCTATGGGCTGTGCCTGAGTGTGGGATGGAGTCGGCCACCTGGCTTTGGTGGCAGCAGGATGTCACCGTGCTGCTGTCCCCTGTGAGGTGCCCGGCGTCACCAGCAGATGTTTGGGTGCAGGTGGGCATTGGGCACAGCCATGTGTCCTCGTGCAAGCGGCTCACTGGGGACAAGGCAGTGGGCGAGGTGCTTTTATTGCTGGGGAGAAGCCATGTGCCACCCTCCATTGGGCAGCGGATTGGGTCTGGGAGGAAGGGGGAGGGAGGACGGCGCCAATCAGGGGCTGGGAGCAGCGTGCCATCATCTTTTGGTTTTCCCAGGTGACCAATCCTGGTGGGCACGGGGCCGAGGCGGCGCTGCCATAGGCTGTGGTGCGATGCTGTCACCTGCTCAGCTCTAACAAAGGCAAGGGCAGAGATGGGGCTGGTGACCTGGGATGAGGGCAAAAGCTCTGTGAGGAATTTGGTGACCCACGGGGCAGAGGATGCTCAGTGTCCGACCCGCTCCCTGCTCACCCCTATCCCTGCTGGGTGCAATCCTGCACTCCCAAATAGGAACCAATGCTTGATAGCCCCATTTCTCCACCCCATGGGGCTCGGGACGCTGCCAGCTGCTCTGTATCTTAGCAGAGCTTCTTTACAATCTCATGCCATTGTGGCAGGTGAGCTTAACCTCATCCCCAGGCCTGTGGGAGCTGGAATCCTGCAGGCAGCTGTTTTCTACCTTTATTTCTTTCCTCCTCTTCCCACTTTGCTCCCAGAGCGTGCTGGCAATAGGAGCCCTGTGTGTTGGTGTGACGTTGATCTAAATTGCAGCTTATATGTGGCTGTTCAAGCTCTCTTGGACACTGTGATTTGAGTGGTTCACACTCAGCACTGTCTGCTCACCTCTCCCTTGTGTCCACCTGACTGCTGGAGACACTGATGGGAGGTAGGCTTGCATGTTCTGTATTGAGAGATCAGCCCTCCGTGCCCTTTTCATGCTTGAAGCAGTGCAGTTGGAGCAAAGAGAGGAGTAGAGGAGATATTAATTAATCGATGGGTCAGGGACTGATTGAGAAGAACCGACCTGTACAAATGCAGCTATTGACAAACGGTGATTTTCACTCGGCGCCTCATTTTCACCTTGAAATATCCTAGGGATGAGCCTCAGGTTGACTCGCTTTTGCTTTAAATAAATGGCTGAAGCCTTCCGAGGTCTCCAGCCCTCATCATCCTCACTGTGACCCATGGGCTGGGGAGGTGGAGAATAGTGCAATCGCAAAGAAACCGTACGTGTGTGTGTGCCTGAATGTAGGAATATCTATGTTTAGAACCCCAAATAATTGCAGCAGGGTTGCAGTTGCTGATGGATGGGTTCTGGTGATGCTCATGAGGGAGCAGTGGGGTTTTTTGGGGTCTGCGCCTCATCCTGTTCCCAAGGCAATGCTGTTAGGAATGTCAGGTCTGCGTGGGTCTGCTACTCATTGTCCTGGGGTTGCGTCTTTGTGTTGGGAGCAGCCGTTCCTCTCCAAATCATCAGGACTCCCAAGCCTTGAGGGTTTCCAAGGGTGTGATTTTCCCATTGGGATTACAAAAAAGCATCTCAGCGGGCGCTCTGAGATCCTGGAGGAACCGAATCGGGCCCTGTTGAATTTTGGCAGTGGGAACAGCATCCTGGGGCTGTGCTCTGCGTGAACTGTGTGCCCCTGAGCCCCGTTGCAAATTTGGGACTTTGCGCTGCTCTGCAATGGATCTTGCCATGCCCTGCATCAGCACTGGGCATCCCAGAGTGACATTTTCCCCTACAGCTTCCACCCCCCCCCAAAAAAAAAAAAAGCAATGAGGGTCTTTCTCCAATTCCCACCCCCTCAGCAAGCCACTGTGGCACATGGCATCCACCAAATGGGAGTCGACGGGTGCCCTGGGGGGACAGCTGATGGCATTTCCCTCAGCAACGGCTGGGAGGAAAATGCTGAGCTAGGCACTGGTGGGGCTGGGTTGGTCGCTGTGATGCTCTGAGGGTGATTGGATGTGAAAGCAGAGCTGCTGGCAGCTTCTCTGCTCCCTGTGCTGAGGAGGTTTGGCTGGCCTGGGACAATGTGCCTTAAAAATAGTCCTAGAGCCACGTTCTGGTTGCCCTGCAGGGTTTTTAGGGATGGAGATAGTGCCAGCTCTGCTCTCTGCCTTCTCTAGAATGCAATGAAAAAGGGATGGCTGCTGGCCGGGGGGGTCAAGAGCAGGCAAGCATCTGCAAAGCAGTGCTGTCATGGTGGGTTTTGCTGGAAAAGATGGGAAATCAGTTGAGAGCTGAATCACAGAGAGCGGATTGCTGAGGTCTGTGAGGGTGGGAGCAGCTCCTGGCTGAACTGTGCTCCGATCAGCGGTCTTGTGCCGGTGTGACATGAGGATTTGCCCTGCTGCTGCTGAGAGCCAATGCTCGTGGCTACGATGCTGAGCTGTGTAATCCCTAAGCTGTGGCTCTGACAGACCTAGGAGGTGTAAAAATCATTCTAATTCCACTTCCAGGGCTTTTGGTGTCACCGGGGCAGGGGCAAAGGGGGCAGTGCCAAGTGTGTGTGAGCTCGGTCTTAAATCCCTGCACCTGGATCTCGGGGGGGAAATGTGATTAATAAGTGCTGGGGGTGAGCATGGGTTTGTGTGACGTGGGCATTGCCCACCTCAAAATTGTTTTGTTTGGAGGAAAAAAAAAAAAGAAAAACAAGTATTATGTATCTGTCCTTGGATCCATTTTGTTCCCTTTGAAAGGCACTGTGTGAGTAATGGGGATTAGATGAGGGACTGCAGGACTGTGATCCCCTTTTGGAGGCACTGAGTGCTTCCTGGGAAGGAGGAAGAGCTTCCCTTGAGGTGTTAACTTCGTTCCAGCTCTTCCTCCTGCTCTGCTTTTCAGTCGGTGTCAGAGGGAGGGAAGTGCCCCATACCCTACAATTAGGGCTGGTGGGTTCTGTGTAGGTTCCTCAGCCCCAAGCTGGTTTTGTAGCCTCCTGAGCCCCCGACCACCATGAGGTGGGCTGTCTTCATCTCCCACGAACGAACTGAAAGGGGAAAAATAAAAGGAATGGTGTCTTTGGATGGCCTGGAAGTGCTCTCTGGAGATGCATATGGAGTTGATGGGAAAGGAGTGGGGAAATGGGAATGTTACGCTGGCTGATGAAGGCTATCAAGGATGGAGTTGGCTTGGAAGCTTGTGTTGATGCCATGCAGAGCTGTTGGTGTCCAGGGACTTGCGGGTGCTGCAGGGGGTGAACGGGCCTCTGATGGCTGCGGGTTCTGCACAAACTCTGGGAGTTTGCTCCCTTCCTCTGCTTTGGTTTAAGCTTTGACCAACCGAAGCCCAGAGAAACCCGCTCCTCATGAAAACATACATGTATCTATGATATAAAATCTCAAGGCCATTCCACTCCTGAGGAGCTGGATGCTTTCTGGAGCACGCACTGCTCACGGCCACAGAACCCACGGCTGCAAGGCTCTCTGCTTTGCGGGTTGCCATGGAAAACCAGGATTATTCAGCTTGTGCACGGGCAGAGGAGGCCAGCACCATCGTTTTGAACGTGCACCGTGCTGGCCCTGGTGGGAGCCTCGGCGTCCTCCGTGCTCTCCTCCTGCAGCCCCAGCCCCTTGGCTGGGCTCTTATCTCCAATAATCCTCCCATAAGAGGGCTTTCTGCTTGTTATGACACCCAGTGAAAGCGTGGGAGAAAGATCCTTTCTTCACCCTTGTCCTCCGCAGCCAGCCACTAGCCTGAATGGGAGGCTTTTTTGTGTCCCTGTGTGCCTGACTAATTGAGCTGAAGGACTTGCGTCTGGAAGGGCTTGAAAGGGACTTTTGTTGCTGCTGCAGAGTTTGTGGAAGGCGAATGAGCACTGCTTTCTTAAGGGATGCGGGTCCTGGGCAAATTTGACTCTCAAGTGCTCACGCCTCTGAGGTCTTTGGGAAAATTAGGGAGGAAAGAAAAAAAAAAAGGGCGGTGGGTTTGCTTGCTTGCTTGTTTTCTTGCTTTTTTTTTTTTTCTTGCTGAAAAATGGAGCCTGGCCCCCAAATGCTTCGTGAGCCGGCTTTAAAACAGGGCTGAGAAAAAAGTGAGATGAGAAAATCATGGTTTAAAAATAACCGTGCTGCCTCCTGCGTCCTCAGGGCTGGCACTCGAAGCACAAATCCCCTGCAGGACCTCAGGAAGAATTGAGGTTCTACCGTCCAACAGCACTTCCCAGCCTTGTGCTGCCCCGTGACGCTGGGAGCTGATGGGCCCCCAGCACTGCCCACACCCCTCTGTTTGCTGCTGCAAAATCCTCCTTCCCCTTTTTGCCTTTCATGCAATGGACGAGGTGGGAAGTTGTGGTTTGTGCTACGGGTGCTTTCCTTAGGGCATGGATTTGTCCCATCAGAGCTGTTTGTGCGCTGTTTGGGGTGCAAAAGCACTTGGCGTCGCTCCGTGCGTGGTGCTTCCGATGTGCCCTTGTTCATTTCTCATGACATCCTCATCCAGGATGGGGAAAAACTGGGGATGTACTCCAGAATGCAGCTGGGCTTTCTGACAGCAGCCATTGGTGCCACTGGGGGAGGATGCTTGGCCGCCCTGTGTCACCCCAACCACGTTTCCCTACACAATGCACCTTCCAGGCATTTTCTTGGTGCTGCTGGAGACGGTGACGAGTAAAAATGTTGACAGAGCTGGAAAATTCAAGTGAGGACCAAGGCCTCGCATCCCCTGGTGGCGCCATCCCAAAGCCATTCTGCCTTTCCTCTCCCCCTGACCTCCAACTTCTGCAAACAGTGGTTTCTCTTAACACCTCAGTGTAAAAATTCTTCTCTTTTCTTCTCTTTATCAGTTTTCCTTTTTTTTTTTTTTTACCTCCCCAGCCATATCATTCCCCAAGCTGCCAGATTGCACTCCTATAAACGTGGATAAACATGTTCATTTTGCCAGTGAGGTTCTGGCACAAAGCAGCTGTAAGCATTTTTGGAAGCTGACTTCCAATGGGGTAGGAGGGAGGCTGCGTGTGTTGGCCTTTCCATGCCCCAAAGCTCTGCTTTGTGCCTCTGGGCAGCCAAAATGATCTCCTCAGGGCCGAAGAGGTGATGAGAAACAGAGCAAAGGGGGGGTGAGGCAAATGAGAATGGCTTCTAAGGCGTCAAATGGGGTGGAGAAGGAGGAGGATGGAAAAGCAGGACTTCCTTTAATAATAACGATATTAATAATAATGGCGAAAATGATTAAAAATGGTTAATAACACTTTATTCATGTCGCTCAGTGGGGGGAGGTTTGATAAAGCCGAGTGATTTCCACGCTGTGCTAAAAAGCATCAACTCTCCTTTCAGCCACCTCCGCTCCTCCTTTGCTGCGGCGCTGGGGATGCCATTGACTCCAGGTACGTGCAAAGTCCCACCCTGTTATCACCTCTCCTAAATGACAATTTACACACGATCTGTGCAATCCTAAGGAAGCATCTGCAGCATCTTCCTGAGGAGGTTTGCTTTCTCAGCTCCGTAATGACGCTGCACCTCAGGCATTAGCGATAAGCGGCTGTTGGCACCGGGACGGCTGCACCCACCAACCTCCCACCCCGTGTGTGCATTTAATTCATGAAAAATCAATATGGAAAAGGATGGTAAGAATGAAAATCTCCCATTTCCATCTTTCTGGAATCGCTTCTGTACTCGGAAATGGAAAGCAACTGGAGGTGCACTCAGCAGCAGAGCATGGCTGGGAGATCCTCAGCTAGAGGACAGAGGGTAAACACAGAAACCCACACTGCAGTTTTATTTTTATTCCTCCCTCATCCTTATTTTGGTAAGGAGGGGTCCATTCGTCTATTTCTTTATATTGTGACCCTTGAGGCTTGCAGAAAGGCTCAACATTTTAGCTTGCAAAACGGCCTGGGATCAGGTGTAAGACATAAAGAGAGCACGCATTCCAATGCATGGAAACGCAATATTATTAATGCTAATCAATAAAAGGGTGGCTATTAATGACTGAGCCATAAGCTGTGCATGCACCTCGCCTCCCTGCAGCAGGCACACAGCTCTGCCCTGGGGTTTTTGCTTCTAGCCCAGCGTGGCCTTGGTGTGCTTGGATCATCCCAGGCGCATTGCAGCACCGCTGCATCGTGGCCATGGTTTCCCATGTGCTCTGTCCCTCCCAGGTGATGCCACCATGAGAAACGCTGTCAGTTTTTCTTTTATTTACTGCTTTTATTCCCTTGATACCAAAAAAAAAAAAAAAAAAAAAAAAAAGAGAGAGAGAGAAGGCTGGGATTTCAGCAACGTCATATTTTTGCTGGGAACAATGGGACAGTGGTTCTGCACCCTCCTGGATGCCCATGTCCAAAACTTGGAGGGTGCCATCACCCTTTGCCCATGCACCACAATGACGCATTTCTCATCTGTTTGATAGCAGCCCGTTGGGTTTTTTCCCCCTCCCTTTCCTTTTTTTTTTTCCTCCTTCTTTTCCTTTTTCCTCCCTCCATTTCTGCGTTTCAGCCTTTGTCTCATCTCCCACCACCGGCGCCTAATGAAGGGGCAGCCACTCCCACGCCAATGGAGTTTTTGTTGTTCTTGTTTTCCTGGTGCTTTGTTCCCCTTCCCACCCTCCCTGTGGCCCTCATCCCACGCTTATGGGGATCCCAGTAAGGGCACGGGGTTGGGGTGCCTGGGAAGGGACGGAGCAGCACAAAGCCCGAGCGCGATGAGGGTTCTTGTTGTCATGGTTGTGTGCGAAAGAGTTAACCCATTAGCAATTCTGAGCCCTTCTTCCGATAGTTAAACCTGATTTGCATGCATTTGCATAATGAATGTCATTTGCATTCCTGGAGGTTGGCTACTTCTGTGGGAAAAGTCAAAGCGGGATTGCAGGGAGGGCGAAAAAGGGGGGGGGGGGGGGGGGGGGGGGTGAGAAGGGAGGGGGGTCGGTGAAGAAAGGAGGGAAGATTTCCCTGCGCCCCACGCGTCTCCCTGCCCCCTCCTCTGTCCTCGCCCAAACGTTGCACACGTCTTTCCCTTTTCCCCCCATTTATTTTTCCCCCCTCGATGCCTTCCTGCCTCTCCCTGCCATAGGATAAAGCCGGAACATAAAGCCAAGGGCGGATGGGCCGCGTCGAGGCGAGCGCATCCTTCCAGCTCACCCCCCCCCCTCTGTTCCCCTCCTTTAATTTCCCCCTTCTAATTCCATCTTGGCTCTTGTTCCCTGCACCCTCGTACGCAGGGGGCTGCGGCCCTCTCCCTCCCCTCTCCGTGGGTGCATGCGTGCTGGAACGGTAGCAGAAAGGGAAAAAAAAGGTGCGAGCCACCATTTTAGGCAGCCAACATAAAATGGCCGATGCTCGCTCGTGGCTGCAGCCACCCCACCTCTCTGCCTGTGGTCCCATATCCCACCCATGCCCCCATGTCCCACAATGGCCCCACACCCCACTCGTGCCCCGTGTGCTCACCCTAGCCTTGCTCACCCACGTTTGCCCTTTCCCACCCATGGTGTTCGCTCCAGCATCACCCCCAGATCCTCTCCTTTGGATTCATTCCCCATTTCTTCAGTGGGTGTAAGACCAACGTGAGTGTCCAGTCCTTTCTACAACATGTTTTGGGGTGGTCGTTAAAATTTGCTCTGTGTCATGGGGGATATTTTGACTCGCATTTTGCCAAATGATCTTGCAGTGGCTCCAGCCCACGTTTGTATTCTCATGTATTGCAGAAATACTAACGAAGCAGCTGTTTGATTATTTTTTTTCCCCCTTTTCTTGGATTAATTGAGAATGTTTTGTGGCTGTTTAAAGATTGGGGGGGGAATAATATCGGTGTGAAACACAACCAAGAACATCCTTGCACTGTACGTGGCCCATAGGGCCTCACGTGCCCAATGGAAGGTTTGTAGGGACAGAAATGACGGCGTGAGGTCGGACAGGAGCAGGAACATCGCCTGATCTGCTGGGAGCTTCTTGATGGACAGATTCTGTCCTGATGCTTGAGGTTTTTATTTTGGGGTGCTTTCTCTGCAGAGCCCATTGTGGGTGGCTGCTGTTTTGGTGGGGATCTCAACGCTCCATGAGGTTGTGTTGGTGCTTCCTGATGTCTCTCCATCTATCCGTCGCCAAGAGAGCAAGAAACCTGAAGGTCTGAATGTATGGAATGAGCTGAACCCCAAATCTCTTTTTTCTTCCCATCGGGTTGGAGCATGAACTCCATCACCCCATGCCCATTTTGGGGCTGAGGCCGCCATCCTCATGCAGACATTGATCCCTCGGAGGTGACCCAGCAGCTCCAGCCCCGCGCGTGCAGGAATGGGCACTCATTCCCTAACACCCACAAAAATGCTTTAAGGCTCTTAGCTGCTCAGCTGAGCTGGAGCTGCTCAGCTGATTTCTCACTGCTCAGACTGGGGGGGGGAGGAGGGAGATGGATTTTTGTGCCTTTTTCTCTCTTTTTATGCTGAGATGCAGTCATGGAGTGGACGTGGGCTGGGGGATGGAGCTTTGGTTTCACTGCTCTGTGTTGCTGAGCCTCCATCCTTGGCTTATTGCTTCCTTTCCACTGCTCGCTCCTCTTGGCTTCTGTGCTGTTATCAATGATTTGTGGGACTGAAGGGCAAGAGAAAAGGATCTTTCTTTGGCCCCAGTGTCTTCCCTTATTAAATGTGCCAAGTAAATTTGGCACTGTGTGCTTAAATCTATGAGTAGCCCATGAATTGCCATGGGTGAAGCAAGGTTTATGTGGAGAGGAAATACACAAGGCAAACCACTACGTAAAAAACAGATCTGTGCTGGCCAACCCAGGACAGAACAGAGCAGTGGGGTGGGGAAAGTAGCATGTGGTCCTACTGAGCTGCAGGGTTGCCTTGGATGGCTATGCCACAGCACTCAGCATCCCCAGATCTGCACAAACTTTGGGTCTTGGGGCTGAGCTTGAGGTTTTTCAGCAGCTCTGGTGACGGAGGGAAGCCTGGGGACCACGGCTCCTCATGAGGCAGGTGAAAAAAAGGGGTTCTTTTGAATGGAATTTATTTGGCTCTGCCTTATAACTCCTGGGCTGGATGTCCATGGAGATGAGGGATGCTGAGTGAATTCTGTGGCCGTAATCATCTGTAGTGCAGATTGGGGGGCACTTGGGCTGACATTTATCCTTCTCTCATTTCCTTTTCTCTTTCTCTCCACTAGCGCAGAGAGTAGCTTCCCCTGCTCTGATGCTCCACGCTTTTCCTGGCCAGCCAAGAGTAATGCTTGAGTCCTGGTGGAAGTTCATTCAGAATTGCCTGGTAAGAGCCTAATTTTCATGGCTATCCATAAACCCAAGCTCCTTGGACTGAGTAGACTCCAGCACCTGCCCCATGGGCACAAGGACCAGGCTACAGGGAGCATGGTGTTGCTGCTCACCATGCACTGCCCAGCTTCTCATACCCCTATAGTTTTTTTCCATGATCTCTTATTGCTGTTTTATTCACTCCCAATCCTCCAAGCCCACAAGCAACATCCTTTGAGGCGCTTATTTGCTGGTAAATCTGGGGAAGAGGGGAAGGAGCTGCTGTTGCTTGTGGTTTTCAACTTTGATCATATCTCTCTATTGCATGAACACAGGAGTGGAGGCTGGAAAGGAAAACCACAACCACAGCAGAGCCTGGATATGGGAAGCTGCTAGCAGGACCCATCTTGGGGACGGTCGCTGTGTGTGCCTTCCTCCATCCTCCTCCTCCTCCCAGCAGCTGGTGATGTGGAGCAGCACAGAGCAAGCCTGTAAGGACAGCAGGAGCACTTTGGGGATGGGACACAGCACCATGCCACACTGGTGAGACTGGGGGGCACAGTGGGGGGGGGGGGGGAGCACAGGTGAGGTGCTGGGTCTGCGGATGGGACGGGGCATTTATTAACGTGGCGCAGCTGAAACGGGTGCTCTGCCAGTGGTCAAGGCTGCTCCACAAACTGAGCATTGTTTCCCAGTTAGGTTCAGCGCATTTTCCCCGCTCCCCCCCTCCCTTCCCCTTTCCTCTCCTCTCGCCTTTGCACAAAGATGCCATTGTGCTGGGAGCTCGGTGATGGCAGAGTTGTTATTGGGTTCAAAAAAAAAAAAAAGAAGGGAAAAAAAAAAAAAAGAGAGAGAGAGAAAAGAAAGAAGTGGGGAGGGGGGACCCAACAAGGTGAAGAGGTTTAAATCAGCTTAGCCCAAATGCCAATTAAAAACCAAAGAGGATTAGGCTTGTGATCAGCAGAATAGACCATCATTGTGCCCAGCTGAGGGTCCCCGCTCTGGCAGTGCAGGGTCCAGCTCTCCAAGCAATGTGGCCAGGGTGTGGGCAGCAAAAGCACTGGGGTTCCTGGTGGGAGCACCTTTCCTTCCGTGTGTTTTTGCTTTGTTTGAATTGCATGCAGGCACTCTTGCCTCGTTTTGAGCTCAGCTGAACAAGGAGAGCTCTTGGTCTCTCTGTCAAGGTCTCTTTGGTCTTCCTTAAATTGCTTTTGGGCTGGGTTGGGTGCCGTCGTGCTGTCCTCATAGGAGCAAGAGGGCAGCATTCTGACCTCTGCTCCTGACAGTGCGCATCACCCTCAGTCCTGAGGGTGATGGAAACACCAGGAGCATCACATGAGCTGTCCTGCAGCCAGAGAGTCACAGAATCACCTGAGCTGGCAAGAGCTTGGAGCTGAAACGCATCCATGAATGTGACCTGCTGCATTTCATCCTTGTCATGTCCCCTTGTACCACGAGGCTTCACCCATTTGCTCCAACGGCCTGCTATTCTGTTTGGTTCAGTGCTCCTGTGCCATCCTCCAGCTTGGAGGAACTGAGCTCTCCAAAGATGTGCGTGATGCCCGTGGGGAGCCCATGGTCCTGGTTGTACCCTGGGGTGGGTGAGGTGGTGGTGTGTGCTCTGCCCTGCTCTGAGCATCTCTCCTGAGGCACTTCTGCTCTGGCCAACGCACTTCTTGCAGTGCTACAGCTGTTCTGATGAGGGGCTTCGCCTTGCAGGATGTGGCTGTAGGATGAGGATTGCTCAGCCACCAACTTGCTCCCTGTCCTCAGTACGGTGCTGGGATGGCACACATTCCTGCTCCTGGGTTTCAGCTATTTAACTCCAGCATCTCTTTTGCATGGGTGCAGTCTTAGACGCTTCTTTTTCAGACTGATGCTGTGTATAGGCTGGGGCACTCAGGGACTGAGAGCCCATTGGACCATGTCCCATAGGCATCTTTCCCTGTGCTACATGAAGGCCCATGGGAGAAGCTGTGCTGAGCTGTGGAGGCCCCAGCAACGAACGCAAAACACTCCAGGTCTCGAGCCATAGTGAGGAAACAGGAGGGAAAAAAATGGCCTTTTTTCTGACTTAGGAGAACCTGGGCACCTGAAATATCAGCAGAGGGAGCACAGTCACAGGGTGCAGAGCACGGGCGGTGGGTGCAGGAGGCTGGGATGCTGCTGGTGGGGAGGTGGGGATGGCAAAGGGGTTTTCTCCCCCCACGCATCGCCCAAACGCGACTCCCAAGGGTGCTGCATCCTTTCGACCCAGGGATGCTGATGGGCTCCCAGCGAGCCCAGAGGCTGTGGGATCGAGGAGAGGAGACCAGCCCCATCCCCTTTTGTCGCCGCCGTGTAATTTATGATATGAGAGAGGACCATTGTCTGGACCCATCCTGTATTTTTTCCGAGGGCTTTGCCTCTCTTCCCAGCCCCCCGCTGTGCCGCCACTACTGTACCGTTGCTATGGGACGAGCTCCCCGCGCCGCCGCTATGCGAGCAGAACCAGGGAGGGCTGAACGCTGCGCCTGGACCCATCTGGAGCCCCGAGCCCCTCTGCCGGCAGCATCGCAGCCCCGCTGACGTGCCCAGAGCCTGGGAATGGGGCTTTCAGCCCTTCCAAGTTCACGGCCACTGGAGGCATTCAGCTGCCGGGGGGGCAGTGGGAGCAGGGCCGTTTGGCTCCATTCTCCCTTCCCCTCCGCCTTTCAGCGGCGCGATGTCCTCGCCGCATACAGATCCCCCATCCCTTTCTCCTCCTGACAAGTGCGCACATAAATAAATTACCCCCACCGGGCGAGTGTGGAACAATCTGTCCCCTAAATTCTATTCATCGCCAGACAGGACCCATTATTCCCCCGATTAAAGCCGCTGGAGTAGCTTGCAAGGGTTACAGTTACTCTGTCAAACTGTAAATAAGACACTAAAAATAAAGGGTGCTGGTGAGAGAGGGAGAGAGAGGGGGGAAAGGGAAGCCAGACTAATGCCTGCTGCTAGGGAAACCGAATGAATCCCTAATGATGCCTGTGTACAAACAGCAAATAATGAAGGAAAAGTGACAAACGGACCTCGGCCGCGCTTTGGGATGCAGGAGGCTCCGTGTCACCCCGCTCCCATAGGGCCTGCAAAGGGGTGGTGGGGATCCAGACCTTGCTTTGCTTATGCAGGGATGCAGGTCTTGCTGACGTGCTGATTTTAGGGATGCTGTCTCCTCCGGAGTCTGGCACAGGGGAGCATCCATCAGTTGTGCCCGTGGAGCAGAGGGCTGTGGGGTGTCCCCCAATGGGCTGAGCTGATCCCAAGCACTTTGCTTTGCCCCCTTGCCTGTGATGGATTGCAGTGGGGGAGCACACAGCCACAATCCATTTCCCCTCTTGCAGTTTCCTTGCCAGCTAGAAAAAGTACAGTTGTTCACTTCTCTTCCTCTTGTCCCATAAAGCCCACGACCAGAGGCCAAAGCCCACAGGCAATGTGTTCACATGGGGTTTTACCTCAATTCCAAAGGGGTAAAGACAGAAGGGGTTTATTTCAGGTCCATCTCAGAGCATTCTCATTGCTGCCAGTCTTATGAACTGGGAAAAGCCATCAGGCTGAAGCTGCCCATGAGTACTGACATGGATCCTTGCTTGGGGAGGCTTGAAAAACCTGCAGCAAGGAGAGGCAAAGAGTGGGGCATCTCCAAGTGGTGCTGATGCTCATCTGGAGGAAATGGAGCCCAGGAAGGGGACCTGGAGAAGATGTCCTGGGTGGGAAGTGCTGCAGTTTGCCTTCCTGCAGCAGAGCCATGAGGTGGGGGTCCACAGATGCTCGCAGTCCCTCCAGAAGCATTGCTCACACCAATATTGTTCACCAGCCAGGCCAAGCTGGGGCTGAGCAGCTTTCCTTCCACCTCAGGGTGATGGAAAAAAAATAATAATAATAACAAAACACACAAAAAAGAAGAAACAAAAACTCCTTTTCACCTACTTTTTGGCTGTGAAGCCACATGGCTCCAAAGCAGAGCAATCCTGTGTGCTCCCCCTGGCCTGCTCCTCCTAACCCTAACCCTCACCCTTACCCTTACCCTATCCTTGCTGGTGACACTGTTGGGGATTCAGTCCTCACGTAACACTTGAGGCTGTGCTGCTGCTCCCTATGGAGATGTAGCACCTGCAGGGCTGGGTGGAAGCAGAGATCCCCAAGTTCCCCACTCCAGCTGGGTAAAGATTGAGAACAATTTAGGAAAAACACACTTAGTGTCGTTTTATCCTTGGCTTTCATTTATTAATGGGAGGAGGGATTCTCCTCTGAGGCTGCAGAAGATGTGGAAAATCAGGCAGACCTTTGGCATTCGCTCTCCTCATTCCGGCGCAGTTTCGTGTCTGCCCACCCCTCTCTTTTCATGAGCTTTTCCCCGGATCATCCAAGTGAGTGATTTCCCACCTATGGACACGATCTAGATATATCAAGTCAGTGTAAAAGCTGCTTAGGAGCTTGTAAGAGCTGCAGCCGACCCCTTCTACGGTCAAGGATTGGGATGAGGTGCACCTCTGACTGAACCCTCAGTTCCAGGCTGTGAAGGTGTTTGCCAGCATAGCAGACATGCAGAGCACACGCAGTAACAGCCAGGTAGCTTGAGTGGCTGAATCATCATGACCTCCTTTTAAAGTCCATTTAAATGCTTCCCCGCAGGCTCGTATAGGGCTGTTCAGGACTTCATTTGAATAAATAAGTGCAGAGGTACAGGAGGAGCATCCCCACCACCCCCTGGAAGCCCCCAGCACCAGTAATGGCACCAGAAAGCAGGCAAGCTGGGAAGGAGCTCCGTGCTATATATTCCATAAAGTAGAGTAATTAAGTATTGCTAGTTTTGATGACTTCAAACAGAGCGACTCCGGGAAATAAGCCCCTTCTTTATAATTAGTGGGATTTCCTCCGCATCAAATGGGGAGATTGATTCTTTAATCTGCTCACATGCTTTTGATTTGGTCTCTCAGCCGCTTGTACCAACTGCTTCCACTCCCTGCTCTTGCTGATAAAACCTTACAAAAGGAGATTTTGGGAAGGCGTGACCAGAGCTGAGGTCTGGGATTTTTTGTTCTGTGTGGCTGTTTTGTGTGTTCTTAAGTTGCTCGAAATGATGGAAGCGATGAAAAACAAAACGCCCATTAAACATCCGCCTTAAGTTGGGTGCTGGCTGCTGAGTTGCTGCTGCTCTGCAGAACGTTGCTCAGTCTTTGCGTGCTCTGAGCACCTCTGAAACGGACGCACTGCAGAGCAGGAACACAGGGATGGGTGCAGCATCACCTTGGCTTGGCCCCTTGCGAGCAGCAATGTCGAGCACAGGTCATGCAATTAGGGAGCGGTGAGCATGTAACTGTGCAATTATGCAAATGGGGACCAAAATCACTGTTTTCAGCAGAAATGCCTGAAGATGAAGGCAAGGAGCTCTGTGCAGCCTTGATTTAAGCAGAGACTTCCAGCGTGACCCCATGGGGATGAGCAGGGAGAGGGTGGCACCGCGGCCAGAACAAAGCCTGAATGGTGGCGCCCATATTTACAGCTGTATTCTTCCCATTTCAGATGGAGAACACGAAGCTGGAAGAGGGAAAAAATCAACAGCAGAGAAGAAAAGAAAGGAAACGAAAGTCTCCAAACTCAGGAAATCCGTGTTAATTGCTTACAAATGTCTCCATCTCAAAAATTATCCAACTGATGTTGTCGTGCTTTTTTTTTTTTGACAGCCTGTCTGTTATATATATTTTTTTAAATATTCATGCACCGAAATCTAATTACTAGGCAAATTTAATGATAATGAAATGAAGGCACTTTAGCAGAAAGCACGGGGCCTTGTTAATATTTTCTCAATCTCTGTCTTGTTCGTATTTTTAAAGCATTTTTTTTTGTTTTCACCACCGCCTCTCTTGCAGTAAAAAAGAATTGCCAAAAATAAAACTTGAATTGCTGGAAATGTTTGTGGTGCCTCTTTTTATAATGATGGGGAATTTGTGAGGTGATTAAAGGTGTTGGACAAAAAAATCTATATACATAAAAATCAAGTGAGCCAAACGTAATTGGGGAAGGCAGATGAAGTATTGCTGTTAGGGAACGTTAAGGGGATGGGTGGATGGAGGAATGGATGGATAGATAGATGGATGGATAAATGGATGGATAAATGGATGGATAGATGGATGGATGGATAAATGGATGGATGGATGGATGGATGGATGGATGGATGGATGGATGGATGGATGGATGGATGGATGGATGGATGGATGGATGGATGGATGGATGGATAAATGGATAAATGGATGGATGGATGGATGGATGGATGGATGGATGGATGGATGGATGGAGCCACACGATGCATATGGTGCTCAAACTCCTTCTGCACCTGGCAAGCCCCACCTGAGACCCATAAGCAAACAGGAGCACCTGTGGCTGCTGCTTGAGTTAAAGCCAGTTGCAGAAATGCTTTGCTTTCTCCTGGTTTTGCTGCAGTTTGTGGTGTGTGTCCCTGCTCTGTGCCATCCCTTGCTCCTGCCTCTCATCTTCCTTTGGTCTCTAGCTTTACTCTGTGCTTTAGAGCGTGGTTGTTTTCTTACAGTGGGTGATGTGACAGGTTGGAGTGAGGCTGTGGGTGAGCCCAAGTCATCCCTGTGGGGTTTGCTCCTCCAAAGGACTCTGAGGAAAATTGCTTTGGCAGAGTTTGGAGTGCTTTGGTGGAGGTGGGGAGGTGCAGCCAAATGAAATTTGCTGCTGAAGATTTGGGGTCTGCATTTTAAGGCCTGCACGTGACACTCACTGATGCACCCAAGGTCTTCGGGTCCCTTCTCTGAGCCCATCCTTGTGATGTTGCTCCTGTCCCAGCCCAATTAGGCACAGTGTCAAGAGGAGGTCAGTGAAACAGGAGGGGGTTGAAGGCTTTGTCTTTGGATCTCCAGTTCCAGGACCCCTCAAGTGCAAGCAGCAATGGCTTTTCCAGTCCTCTTCTGTGCTCCTTCACCCATGCCTCTGCTCCCCTGTGGTGCAGTTTGATGTTTAGTTCTGTGCTAAAAGACTCTGACACATCCACCAACGTTTGCACACAGCCGTGTTTGCCTCATAGATCTCTTCCAGCAGCATTTATCCTGCCAAAATGACAGATTTCTATTAGAGAGCCGCAGCCCGGCACGATGATTATAATTGTCACTAATTTCTTTCTTTTGCAATCAGGTTTGCACCTTGACACACTGGTATAAAACGAGGCAACGACTCCCCCCCTCTCTCCCATGCAATGCTGGTCTCTTCCAGTGTTGCTGATGTCTGGGTTTCTCTGGAGCTCTGCAGAGATGCCCAAAATCTGCTTGGGGTGAGGATGGGGAACACTGGTGATCCCATTGCTGGGGCTCCCCACTATAGCAGGAATGGGGGCACGGAGCAGAGGTGTAGAAAGGGGCAGTGGGGCTCGTGAGGTTTCCTGCATCACTGTTGGGATCACCAGGGGGGGAACTGGGAGTTCGTATTGATTTATTTTTTAGCTTAACCCTCCTAAGAGAACGCCACAAAGATTCCCAGGTGCTGTCAGCTGGCACAAGGCCCCCCAAAATATCCCCCCCCTCACCCCAACTAGAAACAACTCCATAAAACAAAGAAGCTGAAGGTTCAGCCGACTAAAATTTACCAGCGTGGCAAATAAAGCATGTACAGCACTAAAACAAAATTTGCATTGCAATAATGCTTTATTAAGCACATTAGGAGATTAAACGAATCAACCCATTTGTTCCCATTTGCGTTGCGTCAGAATTTGCATATATATATATATATATATATATATATTTTTTTTTTTTCTTTCCTCCCCACCTCCATCTTGCCCCACACCCTGGGCTTGTTTGGCAAGGCATTTTCTCAAGGAACCTTGCAAAGATCTCACCAAAGAAGGTGTGTGTGTGTGTGTGGATGGATGGATGCGTGCGTGTGGACGTGGAGGGGGCTTTTAAATCAAAGCACTTGACTTGGCCGTGTGTTTGTCTGCATGAGTATGCACAGAGGAGGGGTGGGACGCAGAAGAAAAGATTTGTCTGCTCCCAATTCAGCCAAAATGGTTAATTAAGACAATAGAGGCTATATAACAATTGGGGCCAGGCAGTGAATGGTTGTCTAGACTCTATAGTTCAGCTGCAACTTCTCCGTCGGAATTTTAACTTGGCCAGGCTCATTTCCCCTCCCCTCTTTTCCCCGCCTCTCAGCTCATGTCCGTAAGTTCCCTTTTCTTTTTCTTTCTTTCTTTTTTTTTTTTTTTTTTTTTGTCCTTAAACAATCCATCTTTTGAGAGATCGGGGCTGGATTGACAGCTCTGCTTGTCTGAGGTCTCGCGCTCAGCGCGGCGCTGTCTTTCCAGCGCTTTGTTGGCGGAGCTGCTGCTCCCTGCCAGGCCTGATCCTGGCTGAGAGTGGGTCCGGGGGCTCCAGAGAGGGGCTGTGGTGTAAGTGGGAAGGAATGGATTTGGGTTAATGCTAGAATAGCTTGAGGGCATCGTGCTCAGTGTTTGGGGTCCTGGCGTGTTGGGGAGCGATGCATCCTGGTGGCACCTGAATTTTCTGCTCCCGATGCTTCCAACCTGCTCCTTGGGAGCTGCTTCAGCAAAAGCCATGAAGAACAGGAGAAAGGGAAACACAGGGACCTGGAGAGCAGTGCAGGAGCTCTATAAATCTGCTCAGATTTCACCCACAGATGAGAGAGTGCACCATTCCTGGAGCAATTCCCCCAAAATCTGCTCCCCGTTCCTGGTTTCCCTAGTTTAGGATGCTCTTGGTTTGTCATATATATATTTGTATGGGGGCATAACACATATAGAGACCCCAAGCTCTCTCCTCATGGATGTCTGAGTGCCCCAAGCACTGTGCAATGGCAGTGATGTGGGAGAGAACCTCTCTAGAGGAGAATGTGGGGATGCAGCCGCGCGCCTGAAATATGAGCGAGATTATTCCAAGTGCATACATGCAAATGAGGCCCATCTGTAGACAGGAGAGACAAAAGGTCATTAGCTTCCCATGTAGAGCCCTTCGTGCAGGGCCTAATTTACTGTCTCCCTAACCCTTTTCGACAGATCTTGCATTTTGAGGCTTAAAATAGTGGTATTTTGGCAGTTTTGTGAGTTGTTGGATAGCTCAGACTTTATTAGATATTGCAGGATTCGTTGCAGGGGGCAGGAATGTACAAAAGCTCCTCTTAAAAGCAAACATGATGCTTGAGACTCATTACACGGTGTAGCTTGGCTGGGGAACTGGAGTGTGATTTGGGGCCTCCCTAGGATGTGAAAATCCTCAGAATTTCCCCCAGAAGTAATGCCTTGAATTGGGACTCATCCTCTTCCCAAAAAGATCATGTCCTCCATTCCCCTTTGGCTCTTAGTTTTGGGGTGATAAGAGGACCTGTGGGCACCCCCATGGAGCTGGATGTGGCTGCTGGACTGGGATGAGCTGGGAGCATCCCTAGGCGAGTGGCACCGGCTGCCCGTTGTCATGGAACCGTGTGTGGATATGGAAAGTGAACTTCAAAACCCCATTGTTTGGGAAGGATTCACTTTTTTGGGGTCTCCTCTGTGAGCCTGGATTCACACTGTGGCTGAGGGAGCTGGAGGTGAGAGCTGAGTCCGTCCCATTTTGATCTAATGGGGTTTTGGTGCAGGGAACTTCCACTAGCCCGTCTTCAGCAATGCCCTGGGACAACTGAAGGGACAAGAATTGATATTTCCCCTGGGAGCTGGAAGAAGCAATCACTGGGGTCCCCTAAACACTGAAGCAGGACCGTTGGGTGCCACATCTCCAAGCCTGCAGAGTAGAGATGGGCCTGAATGCTGTGGAAGGGATGGAGGGGAGCTCCAGGTTGGGATCCCTATGGCTACCCCTAGAACAGCGCTGCCTCTGGAGTTGGTGAGGCTTTGGCTGGCCCCTGCCTCCCCCAGCCTGGGATTGAGAGTTTATTCACGCACTAATCAAAGTGACATGATGATCGTGGTAGACTAAAGCCATTCACTCCCCGAGCTGGCGGGGTCGGGAGGTCGCCCAAGTTCGCAAGAATGGGGCTTTTGTGATGCAGATGGGCCGTGAGCGGCCAGACAAGCATGGCAGGGTCCCCCCCCCCCCCCAGTGCAGTGACGTGGAGTGGGACCGATGCACAGGGGCACTGCTGGGGACACCGGTGGGACACTGGTGGCAGCTCTGTGCTGAACATGGGGTGGCCTTTGCCACGGCCCTAGAAGCAATGGCGCATCCCAGTCGCTGTAACGGTGTTACAACAAAGTCTGCCTCGTGCAAACTGCACCACAGTGCAACCGTTGGATGACTTTGTGGTCGTGTCGGCAGCGTCGCACCCCACAAGTGCAGCAGAGCCCCTGCAGTGGCTTCTTATAATTGGCTCTTGACCAAACAGGGTTTTGCTGAGGGGTTTTGCTGAGCCTTCTGAAGAAGGCTGATGGTAGCGGCACCCTGTGCTGCCAAATGCTCAGCTTTGTTTCTACTGCTGTCTGCACAGGTAAAATAAATGGTGTAAAAAATCGGTAAGAGATGTCTAAAGTGCTAAGAAGTGTTTCTGTGACAGTTCTGAGATGGCAGCTGTGTTCAGCCCCCTCTTCGTGTGCTGATGTGAGAGAGGAGGGTGAGTTTGGGTGAGATCTGTTCACTCCTACAGGGGAACTGGGCAAAAATAATGGTCAGTAACTCTGGGCCACCAGCAAATTCTGCAAGAAACAGCAAATGGAAACTCAAGTTGAACCCCAAAGTGACGTTATTTTTGACAAACATCACTGAGGTTTTGGCCTGGGCCGTGCATCCCAAGTGTTTGCAGGGGCTCAATGCTGATAGAGATGCATGGCTGCTGGCAGGGTGTGAAATCTGCCTGAATGGGACTTCCAGCTCTCACCTCCGTGGCAGGCAAAGCCGTGGGGAGGTTTTGGAGCCGTATCCTCACTTGTGTCAAAGGATTGGGTCG